AGTAATTTCCTTCTGCTGAGCTGTGCCTGGGTGCTCTGTCCTGGGGGTTGTAAACTCCTAATACGTTCTTGACGGCTTAGGAAAACTACATAACACAGAAACCTAACCTCTGTGTCCTTTGAGAAGTCTGTGGGGGAAATCAGAAAACTTGACATAAAGCTTGTTGTCCACTAGGAGGGGCTATAGAGTCAGGAATGAGCCTGCTCTTTGAAACCTGCTTCTCCTCTTCCCTCCCTCCCTCCCCAATCCATTTCCCCCCTCCTTGTGTATCAGGAGGGCCTATTAATACAGGACTAGTGAGATGAATTATAGCTCTGCTGCCAGCATCCGAATTGTATATGATGGGTTTTATTAAACCCAGCTGACTGTAAATAACTGCGAGCCATACAGGTTTATCGTTTGATTTAAGGCTGGTTCCCGCGGCCGTTTGAAAAAGCGAGCAGAAGGGGAGAAAGAAGCTTAGCAGTGGAGTGAAAAAACGGCCATGGCTGGAGGGGGCGTGTGAAGCTTCAAAGGTTTTCCGCTGGGCAGGCGTGTGGGGTGATGCAGATGTCGACTGCTGTGTTTGCACCGAGTTCACGTGCAGCGTAACAAAAGAACTTTGGCTGCATAATTTATTATGGTAGCTGTGGTAACGGATGCCATCCAGGTTGCGACGGCTATTTTTGTAGATATTCAGCATAGCATCTTGATACGAGCCAGTTATCTTAATGCAACTCTGGCCTGATCCCTGGCGAAAAGCCAATTCCCTCATACAAGCTACTGTATTCATGGAGGGTTGCTGGCTCCAGCTTGGGAAATACCTGGAGATTTTGGGGGGAGGTGGAACTTGGAGAGGGTGGGGTTTGGGGAGAGGAGGGACCTCAGCAGGGTACAATGCCATAGAGTCTGCTTCCTAAAGCAGCTATTTTCTCCAGGGGAACTGATCTTGGTCGTCTGGAGATCAACTGTAATGGGGGGGGGATCTCCAGGTGCCACCTGGAAGTTGGCAACCATGTATCCACATCACCCAACCTGCTGGGGTGTGGGCCTCCACAGCTGCCCTGTAATGCTGAACCCTGATGCCGGTCTTTGCTTGTGGGTATAACATTTTTCAAACGCTGGCCTGCAAATGGAGTGGGGAAGCTGTCCTGGGGCTCCCACATGTGGCACCAGGTGAATGAATGACTTCATTATTACGGTGGCTAGACTGGCCATACCACATACGGCAGGGCTTTTCCTGTGCTCCGTGCTGGTAGGAACTGGATGCCGAATGTCGATCTCTGATTTCCGTGCCCAAATCCTTACCCTCCGCTCTGCCACTGCTCTGATGACTTTAGGCCCTCGTTACCGTCATTTCCCTGGCTTCTTTGTAAGATGAATCCCAGCCCCTGCTGGTCCGTACAAGTCTAGAGCCGCCACAGAACGAATGTGTTCGGCGATTGATTTCCCCACAGTGGCGGAAATGGGGAGGCGAATGTTCAGACGGGCGTTTTTCGACTGTTCGTTCAATCTCAGAACACCCTTTTGGGTGATCTTTCTTTTCATCTGCTCAGTTCCCCCTTTTGGTGTCCCATGTGCTGATCTAATTGCAAGAGGCTTCCGCCGGCGTCCACCTTTCTGCACAATTGCTCTCAAGGCTCCCAAGATCACATATCTGTTCCCAGCCGGCCTCTGGGGTGCCCCACTGTAAAGGGCAGATGTGGGGCTTCATGCCCATGCCATTGCTCCAGTAGCCTTTGTTTTCTGCCACGCGTCTCTGTCATAATATTGGCTACAAACGTTAGATTTTTCTTATTGGTTGCTATGGCTACCCTTTGGGGGACCGTTGTTTTCAGGAGCAGAACCAGATCCATCGCGCTGCAGTCGGTATCCCTCTAGTACTGAAAGCAGCGTAGCTTTTTAAGAATTCAAATCCAACAGAAAGAGACCCCCGTTTCCAGATTTACAGCCAGAGGGGCTTCTTACTGCTGATGGCGTCGTCATCCAGTGCTTCTGTAAAGCTCCAAATGGGCTTCTGGGCGGTCACCAAGGAGGATAAAACCTGCCGTGTTGTCTGAGTCCAACAGTCCAGCTAGCAATAGCCAGCTGCAGCCCCAAGGCTACTTGTAAGTAGAGCGAGATGGTGGTAGCCGTCCCTCGCCTTGGTTCTCCGCATGGTCCAAAACAGCATCGTCTGTCAGATCTTCTCCGGTGCCTCATATAGTATTTTCTCTATTGCTTCACATGCAAGGGGAGGAAAGTTTGGCTTTTCTACTTGGTTCATCCTCCAAGTGTCCTCCCGTGTCTCGGACCAAAACCCGCATTTAACTTTTGCACAAAACACAGTGAACACACAGGAATCTGCCTTATAGCGAATCGGACCATTGGTCCATCAAGGTTGGTATTGTCTACTCAGACTGGCAGCGGCTCTCCAGGGTCTCAGGCTGAGGTCTTTCACATCGCTTGTAACCTGATCCTTTTGATGGGAGGTGCCAGGGATTGAACCTGGGACCTTCTGCACGCAGGACGGACAAAAGGAAATACTACTTTACACAGGGAGAGATTCAGATGTGGAATTCACTGCCAGACAATGTAGTTGTGGCCACAGGAATAAGCTTTAAAAGGGGATTGGATAGCTTCATGGAGGATATCACTACTAGCCATGGTGACTGAGGGGAACCTCCACATTCAGAGGCACTAAACCACTGCATACCAGAGGCAGGAGGCAACATCAAGGGAAGGCCTCAGCCTCTGTGCCCTGTTGTTGGCCCTCCAGAGGAACTGGTTGGCCACTGTGTGAGATGGGAGGCTGGGCTAGATGGACTATTTGTCTGACCCAGCAGAGCTCTTTTATGTTCTAATGAAAGCCTCGGCCTCTATGCCCTGTTGTTGGCCCTCCAGAGGAACTAGTTGCCCACTGTGTGAGATGGGAGGCTGAATCAGATAGGCT